GAGAGGATAAATCGAAACTTTCTTTTCCAAAGGCATGATGGTGATTATCGCGATTTAATACTAATATCACACTTTTTTACCAATAATATTATTAAACTCGTCGCCAGTTATGTATTATGTAGTGAAACACGAGCGGTGGTTGCAACAACTGATTTATTAGCCTTCATGGCGGTATTGGCATATTATTAACAATATAAATTATCAACATACCCGACACATATAACGAAGATGATCGAGACTTTTCACAGATTTCGGAGCATTATAGACTGCCAATAAGGTTTGAGTCCCACTCTCTAATAATCTCTGGGCCGAACAATTTTCTTTCTCAAATGCTGCAGCTAGTTCATCCAAATTTGTCAGTTTCTCAAAAACTGTTAAAAATGATTTTTTTCCCATTTTAAAAAGCGCAGAAGTTGTGTCACAGCCACTTAATGCGTGCAGAAATAAAATATGTGTTTTGGAATGAGGATAATTAATGATTTCTTATATTTACGCGAACACTACACATTGATTAAAACTACTTTTACGGATTTTATCGCGTTCATTTTACTATATTTTTAATTCCCGACGTTTCGGGCGCTTTCCAGCACCCATGGTCACCCCGTGACCGGGATGGGGTGTTTAATTTCAATAGCCTCACGTATCATCCTTGGTAGGAATCGGTGTTCTTTCGCGAGGATTTGTGGTCTATCAAATCTGATGTAATGGTTGGGGCCGTCTAGGATATGATCGCAAACTGCAGAAATTAAAAAAACATCCTAATTTCAATAGAGAAGGAGGCTGGGTACTACCACCTGCTTGGGATCCTATAATCAATAAAATTAAAACTAAACCCAAGCATACCACTGCAAGACCTCAGGACATAGTAAGTTCATTTTGCATAGATCGGACCATAAACAATAATTAAAAAGGCTGAAGGTACTCCGGGTTTAACAATGACATCGGGACGACAGTCATCTCAGTCCCCCGTGACCATAGGTGCTGGAAAGCGCCCGAAACGTCTGGAATTAAAAATAATAGTAAAATAAACGCGATAAAATCCATAAAAGTAGTTTTAATCAATGAGGATAATTATCAAAACTTTTAGTCGAGTAAATCTCCGTTTTTCCATTTCCTTTCCCAACTTTTTTAAAGAAAATTTTTATTTCGTAAGTCAGTGTACGCCCAATTATAGTCAACCAAATCTAAGAAATACCTTTTGACAGCTGTCAGATTTATTGCACCAAGCATGCCAACCACAAAATGAGAACGTACAATAATCGATTCTTAAAAAAATCGATATCGATTATTTAGAGTTGGTAATCATTCACAGTTATGTTTAAATAATACCAGAATAAATTAGAAACGTATAATTTAAAACAAAAAAATTATCGTTTTCTTCGTATTTGTTGTAACTGCTTATTTCAAAGGAAAAGTCATAAAAAATTAAGATTGAAACTTGATTAAAAATAAATTTATTCAATCACTTTCACTACTACTAGTTGAGCTGTCGTTGTTAAGATTAATTATTATTTGATTTTCAATAATGCAATCAAAATTAATGTCTCTTAAAGTCATCCATAATCATTTTTTTGTTTTTTTTCTACCACTTTTGCCCAATCATCCTTTGTGATATGGGTACATGCTTCCTTGAGCAAACCTTCCATCTTCTTCGTCGTGAAAGGTGGCTTGGTGTTGTGTCGTGCTACGTAGCCTGTAAAAAAAGCATAAGATATTTTCATTTTGTATGTGTTTACGTAAAGTTAATATGTTTGCACTTTTCATATATAAGAACTAGCCTTTGATTGGGCCCAAATCAATTCAATAGCATTATCTATAATCTAAGGTAATCTTATAACTTTATGCCCGTGCTCTTCTGCTAATTTGTAAATAACATATAAAGGTTTACGTGGTTTATTTTGCTTTACTAATTGTATTAGCTCAGCTTTCAATAACTTCATGTCGGCTTCCACACCTTTGTGTTGCAGCCATGCTATTAAATCTGCTTTCTTATTCGCTTGGGTTGGGGCTTTGTCGATTTGGACGGAATGGTACGAGTCGTTGTCCATTATTATGCTGCTATTCGCAGGAATGTTTCGTGAAATGGTTATAAACTACTCTTAGAATTTTTCTGCATCCATTTCCTCATGGTATTCTCTTGTAATCTTTGATTGGAAGGTTAATAAACAATTTTGTACAAATCCTCCTCCGGCTGATCCTGCAAACTATGAGGCTCCCACCTTTCCCTGCGGGCACCTTCGAGCAAGTTGCATAATGTAACATATAACATGTCACATATTTGCAGCTATATCAGTGTGGTTGGCGTTTAACCATTAACAACCAACCAACGTTTCATTAAGAAATATGACGTTGTCCCAGTCGTTTATATTTTTCATTTCTCTTAAAAATGTTATTCTTTGCAAGACTATGTCATGTCTCTCCATAATTATTTTACATTTGTCAAGTTTTTTGTATCGAAAGCCTATGCGTTTTAAAATGGTTCTCAATGACTACACTATCACTGTACAAACCGGCATCTATTAAACTTACTTGCAACTTCGCCACGGTAGGATATTCGCCTCTTACGAAATAGCCGTAGACATCTTTTCTAATTGCATCGAATTGATCGATACCTGTTACTGGTTTGTTCTTTTTTCGTTTTTTCGGCGTGTGAAGTATTTATTATTCTCACTGCCTGAAGGTCCGTACTTTTCAGTGACGGTCTTTGCAACGGTGCGTTTGCCAATCCCAAGTGCTTCACTGACACGATCCAGCACTTGTGTCACTGGTAAAAGAGGTCCACCGTTTTTTACTCACGTTTAAAATATTCGTGTAATTTCACCCCAGTGCACGAGCTTGACTGTTTAAAGTACGACTACCACAACTACGTCCTCTTTTCGACATTATGATCACTTGCTTAATCAGAGTCCAGGATATAAATTGCCAAGGTCAAACGAATATATATAGAGAAACGGTCCAAAAAGTTAAAGCCGGGTCACAAAATAAGAAAACAAACACAAAATCAAAATATTACGCACAGTAAACTCCCAAAATGCCGGGAGATTGAAATTACGTAGTGATTTTTTTTTGCGATAGCGATAGCGAGCGGCCTTGGATATGAGTTTTTTTGCCTACACAAATTTATGTTGATAAATTTAAAAAAAAACTTGTTTTATTTATGATTCATGTAAATAAAATTTTAAAAATAAAATAAAATTAAACAAATAATACATTCAAGAAAATTAATAATTCGATTATTTGAATATTTTTACCGATTATATAAATATTTTTGCCGATTATTCGCATAACAATGAATTTTAATCATCCAAACACTACGGTAATGTACATAGCGACATATCATTGATATGACGTCAAGTAAAAAAGTCGATAATGGTTATTTTTTTAATATTTTGCTTTGTTTGAAAAATTTAAATTAAAATTAGTGATAAAAAACTATACACGTTGTAAAGAAATATAGATAACTTCATAATTCTTCATAAAAGTATTTACCTGTGGAGGTGCAAAGTTCGGATGTGTGAAAAGGTATTTCTTGATTTTTTTAATATTTTGTTGTTTGAAAAATTTAATTAAAATTAGTGATAAAAATATAGTTGTAAAGAAATATAGATAACTTCATTTTCGGATTACGTAAAGGTTTTTCCTGTGGGTACGCTTGTGCAAAGTTATTGCGGAATGATTAATGTGAAACGTCAAAAGGTATTTCTTAGATTTGGTTGACTATAAAATGACAAGTAAATTTAATTGGGCGTACTTTTATTGGGCGTACTTTTACTGACTTTGATTTTAAAATTTACAGATTTTGAAGAAGATGCACTTAATTATTTTCTATTTAAAATGTCATGAGTGTTAATGGAAATATAATTATATTATGATTTAAGTTTTTTCCTTTAATTTTAGGAAACGGTTCTCAGTATTATTGAATAGATATAGATTTAATGCATGAAGAAAATGATAAAATATAATATAATAGTTAATAAAATTGACAAATATTTATAATCATTGATTTATCGGTAGTTCATCAACTATATATGGCGCGTTTTCGACCGGAGGCACCGGTTGACCTGAAGTGATGCTGTGACCGCGCGCTCTCCGCCCTCTATCTCGAAAACGGTTCATCGTATAAAAACATTTTTTAAACAAAATTTGTAGAGAATTTCGTATTCTACAATATTGATAATAAATACAAATAGCAAAAAAAACCCATAGGAAATGAGGTATTTACAAAAAAAGGCGCAAAAAACCGATTTTTGTGACCTTTGACCTTGAAATTTAATAGTTGCGTGCACCCTACTATATGTAGGTTTTGAGACAACTTTTAGGGTGTCAATATACAAGTATTTACAGACTTACAGCTGGGTATCTCGAGTTCCGAGATTCTTACCTAATTCAAGCTTAAATGACTGGACTATACTACTTTTTGACTCTGTTGAGCCATGCTGCAGCTATATACACATCAAAAAAATTTACGATCGGTTTCAAAAATCTAAATCTTGTTTGTTACGGTAGACTATATAATTCCTTCTTCTTTTTAAATTCCTTACTTAAAATATAGAAATAGAATATAAAACAAATTTAATTGTTTTTCCATATAAAAAGAAATTCAATCCAAACTTACGCTCATTCAGAAATCGAACTTAGTCAATTTAAATGGATAGCGCGCCTTTACTACCGGCAGCGTCGACTTTAATTAGCTTTTACGTAACAAAAAGTTAGCTTTTACGTAATAAAAGTTAGCTTTTACGTAATAAAAGTTAGCTTTTACGTAATAAAAAGTTACCGTTTGTAATAAGTTTTTTTTTTACATTTTAAGTAACTAAGGAATATCACAATATAAATGTCTAAATAGCCACATTAAAAACTTCACGTGTTTTTATTTCCCTTCATTATTTTTTTCTCCAAATATATAGGACCTATTTTCTAACCTTATAATAAAAAAAGGAATAATTAAATTCAGTTTACAATTGACGAAGATATATATCACTGATTCTACGTTCTTTCAGCTCTAGTTTCGCTTCGAGAAGTTTGGGAGTCGGTCAAATATTACTTAAAGGAGATATACTACATCATTTTCAACTTTCTCCGGAGGCTCGATCCAGTGGATTATGTAAAGGCTCTTTGTATTTTTTGGAATGCTAAGAGCATTCGAGAAGCGTTAACAAAGGACTTAGTAGATTTCATTGCAGATAAGTTAGCCTGTAAGGTGTATTCCAATATGCTTACTGCTTAAATTCAAAATGTTCGTGTAGATAACCTTGTGTACTACTATTTGCGCAGATAAAAAATGGAATTAAAATGGCGTCACCTCTATTCACCTCTCGCTCGCACATTGTGACTGTCTATTATCACACCCGTCGGTAACGACAGCAAAAAATCTCATGCGTTGTGATAACCGTTAATATTTTTACTTCTGATTTCAGGTCCAAGTAACAATGTATAAAAATTGCTGTTCAATATACTTTTAAGTATAAAATTGTTTAATGTAGTCTAAATGATTAAATTACTAAAAATATTGTATTATTTTGCTCATTACCTCCTTATTATAATATTCATTTAATAATTAACTTACATTATTCAATTGATTTTTATACGTGGTAGAGCCATGCTGCAGTTATATTAGTAGTATAGTTGTAGCACGAATGGGTCGGCTCGACCGGGGAAGGACGACGCTCTCACAGAATACCAGCGTGAAATAGTAGCTTAATGCTGCTGTATTTCGTATGGTGAGTGTAGAGAACCGGAGACCCTTTTTACTGGAAGCGAGGCATTCCATCTTGGTCCTCACGGGTGACAACGCATCTGCATTTTGATTCGTAGTCGAGGATAGATGTAGATGTCTATGGGCCACAGCAACCACTTACCATAAGGTGGACTGTGTGCTCGTTTGTCACCCTATCCTATAAAAAAAAATAAAGTAAACAAATGAACTATCATAATGTTTATTTGATAAAATAACGTTATTTGTAAAAAGTTATTTTTTCTTTCTGCTTTTTTTAAAAAGCGTTACCCCCCTACACCTCCCTACACTAGGATTTTCTCCTGTATCGCGGGGGCAGTTTACAAACATAATTACACAAGGACAAACATGCAGACCCGGAACAATTATTTGTAGGCCATACAAATACTTGTTACGTGCGCGATTCGAACCCGCGACCCCCAGCGCTGCCACTCATTGCTAAGCCACTGCGGCACGGAGTCTTCATTATTATTTGTAACATAATTATTATTTGTAATATAACGATATAAGGTGATAAGGATGCTGGTAATACAACCAGCCCTCTGTCATTCTTGCTATCTGCGCGAAATAATTACCTACAATCGCAAGCCAAACAGGGTTAACATACACAGTCGGGGCTAGCGCGTTGTAGGCGATTTAATGTTAAAGTTTTTAACGCTGTTTACGTAAATAGTATTTAACTGTTGCGTGGATAGATGCCAAATGACCAACAAAAGGTTTCCTCCTACGAAGCTGTAAGAGCCGCATAGGCTAACAGCACGAACATCATCGAAACCAGAGAGGTATATCATTCTTTAAGTTATCGAAGGATTTTAGTATGAAAGGTGAAATTATATCATATTTTTTTGTTAGATAGGTATTTATAGCAAAAAGGAATTAAGTAATAATTTATCTAAAGAAGTAATACCTAAATACTTTATTACAAAACTTAGTTGAAATTTACTTCACTATCCAAATACTTGTCTTTGTAATTAAAATATTTTTAGTTATAATAGCATAAATTACTGAAATTAAAGCTTTGTTTACTAACAAGATTTTTAACTAAATAGTAGACCATCATATTTCTGTTAGGAATCGTATTTGAGGTTTATTTGTTTCTTCCGAGCCAAGCTCGCGATTCCCGACGAATAGCCCTGCAAGTTGCATGCGTTAGTCATCGCAGAACTCCCATAGGTGCGAAAATATGGTCAGTCGATCATAGTCAGAATAGGTACTTCACCTAAGTAACCTAATTTACATTTCGCAATGAATTTTTTAATCTTTATTGATATCCCTTAGTAACCATGGAAAGTCCGCCGTAACGTAGGAAGGGGAAAAGATGCAAAGTAATATTGCCACTCGCGCGCAGCGATAGTTTTATTTAGCTTGCGTGTGCAATTTATCTAATTAATAATAATAATGTGGGCAAGCAGTTAACATCAAAGGAATGCAACTTTTGCAACAAAAGGAAAACAACAAAGTTACTTACAACGATGTTTTAATATTCCTTCAACCTGGAGAACAAAACTTCTTTATAAATTACTACTTTCTGCTTTTACGAATCTGTCGTCAACAATCTTAATGATAATTTAAAAAAAATAATACACAGTACAGATTGTTTATATTAAAAGTAACGTCACGACGGAATCCAAATATGGCGGATAGCGTTTTGGAGATTTGAGTCACAGATAAAAAAAAGTTAATATGAATTATAAAATTTATAGTGCTTTCATTGTTTACTTTTTTTACAAAACCTATCATAAATATGTAATTTTTTCAATGATGCAACATACCCTTTTGCAGACACGTTTAGTTTGGATGACAATGCATGGTTAGCTAAGTGACGTCATTCTAAATCCAATATGGCGAGCTTGTTATTTTTATGTACCCCCATGATATAGGTATTAACTTTAATCCCATCCTTTATCTGCACAGGTAGTATCACGTATTAATACTTAAAAGCATGTATAAAAAATTTATTACTGAAGTTCCTTAATGGATATAATAAATGGCGGTGTGATTATGTAACGTTGGTGGAAATTGTTTATCGTTGGAAATTAGCAACTGCATTGTTTTTTTATTATGGCAATATTTCATAAACCTTTTAATAAAAGAATAATATAGAAAATACATTTGGCTTATAATCAGTGATACATTTAAACATCTGTGTGGTCTCAGCGGGATTCCCTATACATAATCACTTCCGGTTCAATCCATTGGGAACAAATTAACAATTATAAAATCATACATTTTTATATTTCATTTTATGTTTGTATGTCATTTATTATATTTTAATTTTTATATTGTTTTTAAAAAAATATTGACTTTTTCCCGCTCTGTATTTTTATGGCGGGACCACTGGGATTATGGAGTCTCTTTTTATGTTTTTTTTCTAAACATTTTGAATAAAACTATTATTTACGGATTTTGTCGCGTTTAATTACTTTAATTTACTTTTATTATTATCCCGACGTTTCGGGTGCTTTACAGCACCCATGGTCACGGGAGGGACTGAGATGTTTGACGTCCCAATGTCATAGTTAGTCCGGCTACCTTCAGTTTTTTTTAATATTAATTTTTGGTCCGATTTACGCAAAACGAGCTTATAGTATCATGAAGTCTTGCAGTGGTATGCTTGGGTTTGGGTTTAATTTTGTTAATTATAGTATCCCAAGCAGATGGTAGCACCCAACCATCTTCTCTATTGAAATTTGGATGTTTTTTAATTTCAATAGCCTCGCGTATCATCCTTGGTAGGAATCGGTGTTCTTTTGCGAGAATTTGTGGTTTATCAAATCTAATGTAATGGTGGGGACGATCTTGAACATGTTCGCAGACTGTAGACTTCCCGGAGCGTCGGTGCTTCACATCAGCTATATGTTCCTTCACGCGGGTTTTTATAGATCTCTTTGTTTGACCTATGTAAGAGAAACCATATTCACAATCTGGCTTGTACACACCTGCATCTTGTAGAGGAATATTACATTTGATGGATGGTAAAAATTGACTAATCTTCTTCAGCGGCTTGTAGTATGTCTTAATGGACGCTCGCTTCAAGATTTAGCCAATCTTGTCCGTGACTCCTCTGACATATGGTAGTAGAGCAGGCGCGCGCTCGACTGTGGCCGGCTTCACTCGTTCACTGTGACGTAGGCGCGGGACCCGAAGCTTGTTGTCTTGCGATACTTGCTTGACGTGCTGAAGCTCCGCCGCCAGATGTTTTCTGTCACAGATCCCTCGTGCTCTCTGAAACAAAGTTACAACAACTCAGTTAGCTACCGTGGGTAAATCTTTGTTTCAGAGAGCACGAGGTATCTGTGACAGAAAACATCTGGCCGCGGAGCTTCAGCACGTCAAGCAAGTATTGCAAGACAACAAGCTTCGGGTCTTTGATCGAGCGCGCGCCTGCTCTACTACCATATGTCAGAGGAGTCACGGACAAGATTGGCTAAATCTTGAAGCGAGCGTCCATTAAGACATACTACAAGCCGCTGAAGAAGATTAGTCATTTTTTACCATCCATCAAATGTAATATTCCTCTACAAGATGCAGGTGTGTACAAGCTAGATTGTGAATGTGGTCTCTCTTACATAGGTCAAACAAAGAGATCTATAAAAACCCGCGTTAAGGAACATGTAGCTGATGTGAAGCACCGACGCTCCGGGAAGTCTGCAGTCTGCGAACATGTTCAAGATCGTCCCCACCATTACATTAGATTTGATAAACCACAAATTCTCGCAAAAGAACACCGATTCCTACCAAGGATGATACGCGAGGCTATTGAAATTAAAAAACATCCAAATTTCAATAGAGAAGATGGTTGGTGCTACCATCTGCTTGGGATCCTATAATTAACAAAATTAAACCAAAACCCAAGCATACCACTGCAAGACTTCATGATACTATAAGCTCGTTTTGCGTAAATCGGACCAAAAATTAATAGTAAAAAAAAAAACTGAAGGTAGCCGGACTAACTTTGACATTGGGACGTCAAACATCTCAGTCCCTCCCGTGACCATGGGTGCTGTAAAGCACCCGAAACGTCGGGATAATAATAAAAATAAATGTAAAAACGCGATAAAATCCGTAAATAATAGTTTTATTCAATGTGTAGTGTTCGCGTAAATTTAAGAAATCATCTAAACATTTTGCCGAATGGTTAGGGGTACAACACTGAAACTAAAATGCCGTGGGTTCCAATCAGCCATTCGGACTACTAAACTACTTTGCTCGCTTATGGAATAAAACAATCATTTTTTCAATTGGTTAACGGAAATATTACTTATGTTTAAATGTTGCTAGTATTCTATTTAAAATATGTAAAAAAACGTTTCTATAAGTTTTTCATTTATTTTTAATTTTAATTTCTGTGACCTAGTGATGATGTTAGATTTATATCGCGTTTATTATGATTCCCGATGTTATGAGCGCTGAACGCAGGTTCATTTTCTGTATTTAAAAATGAACACGAGAATACGCATAAATAAAATTAGTTTTATTATGTACATTTTAGT